ATGTCCGTCTCTCTCGTTTTCTTTTTTCCATGTGGAGGAAACTGAAGCAACATGTGGTGAATCTATCAACCAATCAGAACTCAGCAACCGAGCCCCTACTGCTGCGAGGCCTCAGACTGAGTTCAGACAGATTTATTTCGAGTCCAACATCTGAACTGTCTGTAAATCTCAGCCCTTCACAGAAACTCAGCGTCCCCCCCCCCAAATCTACCAGCAGGTAGAGGGCACTGTTTCTCACCTGTTTTTATTTGTGACTAATCCAAATGATGGAATTATTCATGTGGAATAATGTCTTCATAGAGTTGTTGTATTTCAGTCATGACAGCCCTGACCTCAGTCAGGCTGGTCACTGTACACAAGTTGGGCTGCTGACCTGAGGTTGAAGCCCCTGTGATGGATTTTAATGCATGTATGTAAAAAAAAAAAAAATCAAGCGTCCTGAACTGAACCCCCTAATGGGCCAAGTCTGGTCCACGGGCCGCATGTTTGACACCCCTGCACGAATTGGTCACGTTTTTGTTAGCAGTTTGTAAAAGTTCAAAGAGTACTCAGGATTGTAGTACAGTACGTCTTTGTTGGAGTGTCGGAATCCTGCAGTTTCGAGAAGCACAAACGTTCTTATTAAGAACAGCTGATGTTACTCAACGGTATAAAGATCTCTTCTATGAAGTCCTGCGACGTCTTCCAAGTTTGCTGAAGCTCCTTATGAAGAACCCTCCCCCTGGAGGGGGACGGGGGAGGGTCTGGACTGTGAGGCAGCCATTTTCTAAAGTCGTTACAGATGGAGACAAACGAAAACTGCTGCTACATTTGTTTTTCATCTACGAACGAGAGGGAAATAAACGCTCCTCATCTGTCGTGACTGAAAAAATGTTTTTGTTTCAGTCAACGCTCCCCCCGCAAAGTTTCTCTGCTACTTTTCTTTCTCGTTCTTTCTCTCAGGTGCGGCTGTCATTCCAGTTCTTTAAGCCAGGGGTCAGTGATGTGATTCGAGGGCCGGAGTCAAACATTACTGACAGTTTAAGCTTCAGTTGATTTAAGAGTTTAAATCTAAGAGTTTAAATCTAAGAGTTTAAATTTAAGAGTTTAAATCAACGTATTTTCTCTTCGATCGTCATAATTTGGGAATCCAGTTGTGGGCCGGAATGGACGGTTCGATGGGCTGGATTTAGCCCGTGGGCAGCCAGTTGATTATCACTGATTTAAGACATAATCTGGTGTTTCAATCTGGTGTTGGAATTTAATGGATTTAATGTGTCAAAATTTGAACCTGATTTTTTTTTTAATTTAAAATTTCCAACAGTTTTTATCCACAAAGGCGTGGAGAGATAGTGAACCACGGCTCATGTGTTTGACAGCTGCTTTGTACAAACTCAAAAATGTCAGCATCAATGATGTCATCACGTTTCCCAGCTCCTATTGGAGCTTCATCATGTCATGACCCACGAACGTGTTGTTTCCAAATGACCCTCATTTCCCTAAAAAAAAAGAAAAAGAAAACAGAGGTAAAGATGGTCCTTCGATGCAAATGACCATCGACGTAAACATTCTCCGTCAGAGCAGATGCCGCGCCAGCGCCCGTCACTGCAGCTCATTTTACCCCAGGAAATACCGAGACTTCCACTGCCATATACAAATGACTTCCAGACCTGGTCGGCCAATCACAGCTCAGGCCCGGAGCCTGGAAACCTGGGACTACGAGGAGGTTGGATATGTTTATCAATTCAGCGTGTAGCGGATAGACAAGTATTGTTACACATGTGTTTAGGGCCAGTAAATAATGTCACTGTTACAGTTGTGGTGTGAAGTTCACTTGTTGAACACAGGCGGTCGAGAAGCGCGGACCATCAACTTCCTGTTGACGCCAACTGCAGCTCTGTTCGCTTCCATGACGTTTGTGATTTTTCCTGGGGTCTCTGCTCAATTCAATAATTAAAATAAATAAAATATACATATAAAAACTTTTTCTAAATTTAATAATATTAATATAATCATAGTTTTATGTAAAGTAAAATATAAATGTAAATGCCATCATATAATTGTAATAAACTCATGCTATATAAGTATTAAAACTATTTCTTATTTGAATAATTGAATTACACAAAGAGCGCCGTCACGCGAGGCCGCGGTGCAAAGCTCAAAACCTTTAATTATATCTCACGGTTAAAAAGAGTGCAGACGACCTCTGTGTGACAAGCCGTTTTACCTCCGCGCCCCTAGAGGGCGACAACGCGACTCGACAAGCGGCGGATCCAGGATGTTTTGACCGTGCAGCTCGAGACGTCCAGACTGGAGCGGTAAGATAGTCGATTTAAATTAACACTCCTTTAATGTTTAGCTCGTTATCCACTCGGAATTGGTTTTAATGTGTTTTTTAAAAACTGCCTGCGTTATTTGGGCGCGATAACACAGTCGTACTCGCCGTTAAACCCCGCGTTATCCTGCTAACTGTAGCCAAAATGTCAACCGTGTAATTCAGAATACGTTTTATTTATTAGTCGTGTGCTTGGTTTTTTGTGGTCTTCTTTCTTAGGACGTTCTTTTTTTTTAGTGTCACAGTCAACACCGTGGTACTGAATGAATACAGTAAAGTCATCTGTCACCAGGTAGATTCAGAATCTGAATATTATGTTTACGGTTATGTTTATTTCTGGTGTCAGTCAGGAGGTGGGCGTAGAGGAGGTTGACCTCTACATGTCCAGCAGAGATGAAGAGGACCAGACCGGACGGTTCGGTCTGTGACCTGTGAGTTTCCAGGGATTTATTCTGTCATTTAGTTATTTACCAAGATTAATTAAAGTCAAGAAGGTTTTATTTGTATAATGCAAATAAATTGAATTATAAATGTAATAAATAAATTAATAATACGTTTAATAAACAAATTTTACCAGTATTTTATTTTTTACTCTTTTATTTCCAAAAATCTTTTGGAAAAATTTTTTTTGGCTCATTTTAAGCGACCTTATTATTTTTATGAAACATTACCCTAAATTAACACTGATACAATGGAAAAATAGGCTAAACGTATGTAAAGTCAGTGTTACGTTAAAAATATACGAACCAGATGTGTTTGACTATTATTATGAAAATCTATGTCACATCAAATTGTTTTTCACTTTGTTTTTTTACTAAAATCACCCTGAGCTGCTTTTTTTTATTTTTTAATAAGGAAATAATTGCAAAATAAACTCAAGATACAAACGTCAAATTGATAATGTTTGTCTCTCAGATTGGCCGAGGCTGCAGCGTCATGTGACCACCCAGCCAGCGGGGGCAGCTCTTCAGGAGGTGCGTGTTTATCAACGAGCGTCCGACTATTTGACAGCTGTGAAATATCACGTTGTCTCCGTTATCCGTTTCTCCTCCAGACCAACCGCTGTCTCCGGAGCGCAGCGAGGACAACAGAGCTGCTGAGGTGATGACATCACTGTTTTTCCCACTCTGATCGTCCGGTGTGTCCAGGTCAGTGACGTGGCGTAACGTGTCCTCCCTGTGTCTCCAGATGCAGCGGGTTGGGTCGCTAAAGGTCACCATCCAGCGGAGCAGCGAGAGCCGCGAGTTTGGACAGACGGACAGGACGGCGGAGGGGCAGACGGGTGGACTCCACTGTCACGTCTGCGATCACGCCTGTCGCTCCGTGCAGGTGGGGGACGTCGAATGTCCGTTAGCTAACATCTCATCACGAGGGTTAGGGGGCGCTGACGAACCTTTTAAGAGTCAGTCTTTATCAGTGTAAACCTCTCTCTTTCCCGCACCCTCTGTGTCTCTCTCTCTCTCTCAAGGCGTTTCATGAACACATATCAGGAGCGGAACACGCGAAGAAACTGCGGGCGATGACAAACTCCATCTGCCTCCGAACACACACACTGCCTGAAAGGTATTTACACACACACACACAGTGACACAAACACACACCTTTGCTCCTCACTGCCCTCTACTGTCGTCCCTAAGGAAGCTTCAGCCTCGCACGAAACGCTGGTGTGAAACCTGTCAGTCCCACTTCACTGGTGACGTCATCGCCCACCGACGGACCAATCAACACAAGGTGACTCGCACACACACACACACACACACATACACTGACCAGTGTGGTTGTGTTAAATCTACAGGTCTAACTCACGATGTCATTTTTTAATTTTTTTTTTTTCGGTCACGTTACCAGATGTGTAAGCAGCTGTGTCGTCCCTTCTGTCCCGTCTGCAAGCTTCACTTCAGAACTCCCCGGAAGTTCGTGGAGCACATGAAGTCTTCCGACCATAAGCAGAAGGTCAGAAAACTTGAAACTTGTATGTTGTTTTGGGGCGCCCTCTAGTGACAGAAAAAGGACGCTCGCACGTCATGTTGATGTGTTGATGTGACGCTGGAGTCGTTTGTCTCCCTTCCAGGTGCAGGAGAACCAGGAGGAGGAGCTCATCACTGTGGACGCGGTTGGCTGCTTCAAGGACGAGGAGGACAAGGAGGAAGAAGAAGAAGAGGAGGAGGAGGAGGCGGCTGAAGTGGTCGGCGATGATGATGATGGGAAAGTGTCAGAAACGCAGAACAAAGTGTTGCAGGTAAAATTAGACAAATATTTATGACAGTTTGAAGTGAAGTATGGGTACAACATAAAAGTGTGTGTGTGTGTGTGTCTGTGTGTGTGGGTGTGTGTGTGCGTGTGTGTGTGCGTGTGTGTGTGTTTTGCAGAGAGATGATGCAGAAGACTATGACCAGAATACTACATATGGTGAGTAGTGACATAAAGTTAATGTATATTTGTATAATGTTTTTCACTGGCAAATGTACAGTATATACATATATATATACATACACACATATATATGTGTGTATACATACACACATATATATGTATGTGTATGTACATATGTATGTGTATCTGTATATATGTGCATGTATTTATGTGTGTATACATATATACATACACACATATGTATGTGTATATACTGTATGTATATGTGTGTATATATGTGTATGTGTATGTATATGTATGTGCATGTATATGTATATATACATATACAGTATATACAGAATATATGGATATATACAGCATATATGGATATATACATATATACAGCATATATGGATATATCCATATATCCATTATATATGGATATATCTAGGATATATACATATATACACTATATATGGATATATGCAGGATATATACATATAAATACTATATATGGATATATACAGGATATATTCATATATACGTTATAAATGTATATATGGTTATACAGTATATATGGATATATCCATGCATATACAGTATATATGGATATATCCATGTATATACAGTATATATGGATATATCCATGTCAGACTTTATGTTCCAGTTATTTCATCTGCTTCCTGAACAAAAGAAAAACAAAAATCAAAAAATACACCGTCACAGTCACATGACAGTCATCTAAAATTAGTACTGTTAGTAAAATGACTGTTTTTGATGTAGGAGTATTATGAATTTACTCAAAGTTCTCTTTTTTTTCTATAATTAAAATGATGACTTTTTAATGGAACAACATCTGTTTAAACAGGCAGCAGTTTCGTGGTCCCCGTCTCTGGTTTCCAGTGTCGTCTCTGTAACAAGTTTTTCCACAAGGAGGCGACGGCGAGACACACACACTGTAGGACAAGAACACACTACCTCAACCTACAGGTAACACACGCACACACACATGGATTTCAATGTATTGTGGCCTACTGTAATTAGCCCGTGTCAAGGGTCAACTTTTGTCGAATTCTTAATTGAATAAAGTGGGGTCAGACATTGACACATGAATTATGGGATTTTTTTGTGTGTGTGTTTCAGAGGCACAAAGCTCAGAGAGCCCAGGAGGAACGGGGGGACAACAGCCCACCTGCCCCAACGTGACGGGGGGTGAAATAATGGACTGTCACGCCAGTATTAAATGTATTGTTCAAAATTGTTTTTTACCCAGAATGCCCTACCTGATGCCCCACTTCTGGGGTTGAAATCAAACTCACAGCTATGATGAATTAATGTTTCGTTTCTGTACAGACTGATTTTTAAAAAAAATTGTTTTAATAAAAGAGTGACAAAAATCTGTCCACTTTATTATTTATCACATTGTTTTTTAAAATACTCTTGAAAATGACAATAAATGTAAATATTCTTACTTGGATTTTCAGTAATAAACATTATTTTTTATTTATTCTTATTTATTTTACAATTCTTATGAAGACAGACTATTTCTACAAGACACAGAAGTCCTTATTTTTCTCCACAGATTTTGATTTTGAAACGGTTCAGTCTACTTTGTTTTAACAAATGTCCAGTGGTCGGTCGGTCCACGTGGCATGCTACTCCCCGCGGGGCCAACAGAGGTCGCGCTTGGTCTTTTCCGCAAAGGATTGTGGGTAGGAGGCAGTAGTAGAGCATCATCGCAACGTTAGTGGAGACAGTTCTGACCGAACTTTTTTTTAAAATAAATAAATAATTTAAAAAAACCACAACAGGACGCAATTTGTCCGCACAAAGTGCCTTAACAGCGGTGAGGACGATGGGCCACGGTGATCTGATGAGTCAGGCGGAGGATGTGGCGGACCAGGTGAGCCTCTCTCCCCGCGACACACACACCCTGAACCGGCCACAGACAGGGCTTCGTAGACGCTCAATTTCCGCTACTTTCGAGCTGAAACCAAAGGAAAACAGTTGTAAAAGTTGTCGCGGACGTTTGTTGTGCGCAGTTTAAGTTCCGCGGTAAACGAAGGCGTTCTTTCTTGAATTTAAAACATGGAAATTAAACGTAGTTTTGGACAATTTTGTGCGAGATAAGAATGCGTCTTTCATGACGTGTCCGGGACCCCCGAGTCCTTTTTCAGGATGTTTCTGCCTGCCACGACGTAGCGCCGACCTTTTCAAGATATTAACTTTTACCGAATGCCAGCTTAAAATGTCATGTTAGTTTTCGGTTGCGACACGGAAGCTAATGTGCAATAAAGAGGAAATTGAAACATAATAAAAATGAAAGCCAGTGACCGTTTACAATAGGGAGTTTGGGGAAACTGGAACAGAAATTGGGCGTTGTGTAAAATTGAGTTACTAACACGTCGATCCCGATGAGAGGAGGAGGGAACTGTGGTCGTTTCACCGAGCTCTGAAGTCAGATCGGAGCGGTGAGTCACTGTCCACCGGCAAAGACGCATTAAATCTGCACATTTCGCAAGGGAGACTGGTGTCGTGATTGGAGGAGAGCTGTCGGAGAATCCAGTCATTTATCTGCTTTATTACACTGATGTGAATGAATATAAACCAAGAACTGTTTTAAACAGTGAGTAAATATGTTAAGTTCATTAATAAACCAATTACAACCGTCTTTGTAGACGTGACATAATCGAAAACAGAGCGCACCGCCACCAGGTCAATATAATCGATCTACAACAAACATGTTTTAATACAGTTATTCACGTTTATGAATATACTTTATATACGTAGAGGTTTTTTTTCGGTTTTTTTTTAATTAAAGGGCAACAAGTGGTGGGCGTGGTCTACAGTGTAGAAGCTGGTGAAAAACAACTGTGTCTGAACCTGCTGGTTGTGGTGAAAGGATTACATGTACATCCATCCTTGTGACGTCACACCCGACACTTTTACCACCCTTTCCCCTTCTTCTTCCGTCTGCTGTCCTCGCGGTCCATTAGCCTAAATACAAGTCACAACAATATTCATCACCAATGGCCTGCCATTTTAGTCTCCCCCGTGTCCTCACCCATTGTACTGAGTGACAGTACACCGTTTTAGTCTCTTTCTTTTCCGAACTTGTCCTATTTGTGTGTGACGTGAGTTCAGCGCTTGTCATATTCAACAGTTTAAACATTTTTAGGGTATTTTCAGTATAAATCACGATGTCGTAATAGTTGTGATATGGTCATATACGCTTTTTTCAACCGTTGAGTTGTAGCTCCTCGTTAGTATAGTGGTGAGTATCCCCGCCTGTCACGCGGGAGACCGGGGTTCAATTCCCCGACGGGGAGATTTGTTTTTATCACACTGTTTGACGATATAACGAATTTTAACGACTTTCTTATCCTTATATTTATAACGATTGATATTTTAAGCGAAATGAAACACTTTGAACCATCATTTAATTTTATTAAAAAACATCATCTTTAAGTATTTGTTTAGCTTTTTTTTTTTAAATTTATTTATTCTTGACAAAATGAAATCCCTCCGTGACTTAGAAAATGTGGCTTTACTAAATGTGGCTGAGTCCCGCCCAAATCTGAAGTCAAATCATCCAAACTTAACAACCTGATTATTAACTCCTCCCCTTTTGCCGCAGTTCCTTCGGGTGACCAAACATTACCTCCCTCACGTGGGTCGCCTGTGTCTGGTCAGCACCTTCCTGGAGGACGGGCTCAGGATGTGGTTGCAGTGGTCGGAGCAGAGCGAATACATCGACTCAAGCTGGGGCTGCGGACGATTCCTGGCTAACACCTTTGTCCTGCTTAACCTCCTGGTGCAACTGGGTAATGCATTTATATACGAGATGAAGACGTCAAGATGTGTGAATTTACTTTTCTTTTCTTTCTTTTTTTTTTTTAATGAAATGTCTCTTTCGCCTGCAGGTGGCTGTGTGCTGGTGCTGAGCAGGAACTTCGTTCAGAACGCCTGCTTCGCTCTTTTTGGAATCATCACGATGCAGGTCAAGGAAACATAGTTGACGACGTTGTTTCATGTGCAGATTGTTCAATTTGGTTTTCAGTGATGCTCAAAAAAAAAAAAACGTAAAATCCATTCTTACCAATGTGGATGGCGCCCTCTTGTGGCCATGATGTTTTTTTTAAATATAGGATTTGCTTTACAATCTAAATTATAGGACCAGTCAATTTACTAAAAAAAAAAGAGTGACTTACAGTCCAGAAAATACGGCAATTGCTGGAATTGCGGGCTAACGCGAGACGTTAGCTGCGGTGAAACGGCAACTTGTACGTGCCCAGTAGCCACATCCGTTTCATCGTGAACATTTTTGTTTCTGTGCAGACGGTGGCCTATAGCATCCTGTGGGACCCTAAGTTTCTAATGAGGTGAGCCGATGACCTTTGACCTTTGTCACTAACCTGAGTCTTAAACTTGTACAAAAAAAAATTACATTTCATTCTTAAAGTTTTAAAGTAGTGAAACCTCCTCGTCTATGCAGAAACCTGTCATTAGGGGGCGGTCTTCTTCTCCTGCTGGCTGAATGCAGGGGCGAGGCCCGCAGCGTGTTCGCAGGCGTGCCCTCCCTGGGCCACCAGAGCTCCCCGAAGAACCTGCTGCAGCTCGGGGGACGAGTCCTCCTGGTGCTCATGTTCATGACTCTGCTGCACTTTGACCTCAGCCTCTTCAGCGTACGTATGAACTTTGATCGTTCTGTTGACGTTGTTGTTCCAAAGAATACTCAAGTTTTTTTTTTTTTGACCTGTCGTACAGTTCTTGCAGAACCTGGTCGGGGGTGCACTGATGGTTCTGGTGGCAGTGGGCTTCAAGACCAAGTTGGCAGCGCTGACCCTGGTGGCCTGGCTGCTCTGCATCAACTTCACCTTCAACGCCTTCTGGACCGTGCCCTCTTACAGACCTATGCACGACTTCCTCAAGTACGACTTTTTCCAGACCATGTCAGTGATTGGGGGACTGCTCCTGGTGGTGGCCATGGGTCCGGGGGGCGTTTCTATGGACGAGAAGAAGAAGGAGTGGTGAGGCGGAGGAGGTGTAAGAAAAAGACTGATGAGAGAGATAGGTCAGTGATTATAACACAAATGAATTTGTTTTTCTCTGTTTTTATAAAAATCAGGAAAAAGAAAAAAAAAAATCTCTCCATTAAGTAATTTATAAAGTTTCACTTTCTTTTGAGCAGCAGGAGTGTGGGTGTAATCAGCAGGGGGCAGACTCCTAGAGAAAGACATGGACAAAAGCAGATTAAAAAAATACTTTTACATGAATGCTACTATCAGTGTGTGTGTGTGTGTGTGAGAGAGAGAGAGTGTGTGTGTGTGAGAGAGAAAGAATAAATGTTCAGTTTCGTTTGTCAGTGACCTCTTAATCTCCATGTTGTAATGAGTGCAAGTGTCCAGCAGGCGGAGGTGTTTGCCTTTTCCAATCCAGCTCTTTCTCGGTCGTGTCTCTGTCCACTCAGCTGTGATAAATAGAATACTTTTTATTGTGTTTTTGTAGAAGTGTAATAAATCGATACAGCATCGTGAGTCGGTTTCTTTGGTTTCGTTTTCGTCTTTTGAAAAAAAGGTTTTCACGAAACCGCGTTCGTAAAACGAACATGTCGGATATAACGAAAATCCCACATCAACACAACACTTTGTATGTGTGTTCATTAACTATAGATGAATATTTTAATAAATTGTTGAATGTGTGAAAACTGTGAAACACTATTTTATTACGGTAATGACTGACAAAAAACATCATTACACAAAAACTAAAATGGTTATAAATAAACAACTGACGGACTGCAATACGCCATTTTATAATGAATTGGACATTTAATAGCCAGCAGTACTTTTGTAATAACTAATAACTAATGTAAACATCGACATCCAAAATGGCCGCCGCTGAGAAGACAAACTCGAACTCACACTTTCAGGTGTACGTTTATAAAAGAGACCGTTTTTACCTTCTTTTAAAAAAAAATACAATATAAAATAATCATAGTATAAAAATACACAGCTGACATCCCATACAACACGCTTTCAAACCGCTGCAGCTGCTGCTTTTCGGAGAAATCAATATCTCATAAATGTGTTTGCGGTGTTCAGGTGCTGCCCTTGGCTGCAGATTATTACAGGCTCTGGACGAAACCCAGCGGTCACTAAGTGTCTGTGTGTGTGTGTGTGTGTTGTGAAGGTCTAGCTTCTGTGTCGTCTGTTCAAAGTGAATATTAAACTCTTCTGCTTCCACTGCGATGTTTCCACATCCTCCACCCGTTTTTACCGTTCACCTATAATTTCTTTAAAAATAGATTAATTTTAATAAAAAATATTTTAAAAATTAAATCTAAATCCTAAATTCGAATCGGTTAGTATCGATTATGTATCTGTCTTTTATTGTAAATGGTGCTCGTTTGTTGTACTGGCTTAAATCTAAGGTTAATTATTGTCATTTATGAACTGTAATTTTTAATTACCGGTATCACTAACACGTCCGCCATTTTGAAACAAGTTACTGCCGTATTTTCCAGGTCAAGTTTCTGGTATTTTACCGTTGTGACGACAGCTGAGTGGAATCGAAATAACTTTTTCAACCCTTTTATTGTCAACGGGTCAATTCATTTCCTGTTGAGCTCAGTTGCCTCGAGTGGAGCAATGTCAATTTGTAAAATAAGGGTAAATTCCAGTAGTTAATTATGGAGGTATTTTAATTTAAAATCTATTTAAAACGACACAGTCAGTCAGTTTGTTAGCTAGCTGATAACCCAGACGGCTTCTCACAGTGTAGTGCGCAACTGAGCCACTGAGTGGCGCTCTTGTTGTGTCTCATCTACCGATCATGTTCAGTTTAGGGATAAACAGATTGGTTCTCTGATTAATTTCTCAACTAAATATTTGTGTGGCTTCATTTGCGCGTGCGTGTGTCACAGTTTACAACACGCAGTGTGTGATCGTGGTCGCCAACAGGTGTTTGTGACAGCAGCATGCTAACAGTCTGACTAATACTTAGTCTGTTTCTCACCTCCATTCGAACCCCGAACTTTAACTTTACGTAGTTAAACGTTTGGTTCTTTTTCCACCACTGCCCTGTACCAGTACCATCAGTTCCAGTACCAGCAGTACCAGCAGTCTGTAAAGAGGTCCCTCCAGTAGACGTGAGTCTTTTTGTCAAATTTAAATATATTATTTTTCATAAACAGTACTTGTGCCTTGGTACTTTTTCTAGTTCCTGTTTGTGAATTTTCTCATGAATACTTTTCATTTATTTCTTCGGCCTGGAGTTATTGAAGTAACTGTTTAGCTTTATTTTCTCTGTACATAAAAGAAAACAAAACATCTTCCTCAAGTTTGAATGAACAGAACTAAAGTACATTTGATTCAGTTCTGTATAAAAGACGAAGGACAATATTTTTAAAAAAAAATTCATCAGTAGAAATAAAAACTAAATCATTTCCACTGAATCTGTTTACCTCGATTGTTGTTTAACTCTATTGTGGCTGCTTAGAGGTGAGAGGTCACGGGAAGGTAGTGGGCTGACCTTTGACCCGTAAGTTTCAGGTGAGTTACCTGATAATAGCACAGGTGGGAGGGGTCAAGACCGGGGTCATAATCAGGAGCGGACGAGGGGCAGAGTGTCTTTAGATCATCAGATAAACGCCCGTGGAGAGTGACATCACAGACCACATGACCTGAATCAACACGGGGCAGGACGCAGGTGGAAGTCTCCTCTGCTGGGTGGCAGTTCAGATGGAGTGACGGAAGGAAAAACGTCTGATGGTTTTTAAAAAAAAGACGTAATCTTGTCCTCCTCCTCCTCATCTCCTCCCGGTTGGCTGACAGACTGACATTAAAAAGTACTTTGACATGGAGTGGGTAGAAATCACAGGTTAATTAGGCACACACACACACACACACACACACACTCTCTCTCTCTCTCTCTAAACTAGTACAAATATAAAAAATACTAGTATCTGAACAACCCCAGTTTGATTCCAAGTAACCTCTAGTCTCTGGACCAGAATAAAACAAAATCTCAAACCTCAGCCTCATGTAGACAGGGTTTAACACCAGAAGATTTTAATGGAAATGTTTTGATAAACAACTGTTGACAGTTTTAATTTAATTTGTGTTTTTGGAAACTTAATGGAAAGTAAATGTAATTTTAAAAAAAATATTTCCCCATTTTTTTTCGCTGCTGGTGCAGACGGAAGACAAACAAAAACAGACTTAAATTAATGTAAAACACCAAAATTCGAAAATATTAAATATTGTTAATGGCAGTAGGTCATATTAAAAATAAACTATGTGATTTTGCCATGATGTAGGTTTTCTCTACTGTGAGATACAGAAGTGAGGGTGTGGTTAGCGATTTTAGCTTAGCTTTTAGCAAGCACTAAGAAAAACTGACTAACGTGAGTAATAACTCTGATACCAACCAGGTTTTGCTGCCGATCATAGTTTAACACAGTAAAGTCTTTTATTTTATTATTTTTTTAAAGAACTGCGTTACCGTTCTCTCTTGTGTCCTTGCTGTTGTCGTGCTAACAGCACCAGAGCTGGAGCAGCATCAGGGCAACCAATGAAAACTCCTTCAAAAGTGTGTGTTTTTCTTTTCTTCTTCAAGTTCAGTTCATCCAGTGGGTGTTTATTGTTCTCAAACAGGAACACTGTAAAAAAGTGAGTTTTTATTTAAAAGGAAACATAAAATAAAAAGAGGCTGAAAATGATCCAACACCAATTAAAAAAAAAAAATCAAAGCCAGAAGGCTACTAGCTCAGAAATATTTAATTCTTAGCGAGTAGCAGACGTACCAAAATAATAAAAATAAAAGGCAATACCAAGGATTGTTTCATGGACTGGCATTGACAAAATTTATAAAATATTTAAATAAAAGGATAAGAAAAAACCCATCACAGAGAGAGAGAGAGCGTGACAGAACGAGGCAATGTTTGTACAGATGTATAGAGGTTTACGATTAACATTAAAAGCTGCTGATGGTTTGTTCTCCATTATGAAGCAAAGTGACTCTGAAGGACAGAAGACCGGTGTGTGTGTACACTAAAGGACCAGCATGCATCACAAGGCCAACTCCTGTGGCCTTGTTGGTAATTGTTCATCACTAATAATGACTTTTCCCTGATTGAGCTCCTCATTTAGGAAAGGAAACACACGCATGTACCTGACGGATACATTCAAATGCAGATAAAGTGAATTAAAAGCATCAATGAGGGCCCTCCGCTGCCTCTGGCCTTGTGTCGGATCCTCAGCGGCAGGTGGAAATAAAACGCCGCTGGGCTTTTATCTTTATCTCCGCCACCGGCGCTTCACTCTCAGGACGAGCCGCATGAGACGAGAGCAGACGCGGAGTGGGGAGGGCGGGGATGGGGGGATAAAAAGGATTAATTAATGAAGATGTGTAGAGATTCACACCACAGTCACACCAGGAAATGGATGTTGCACGGTTCATTGTCAGGTCCGGAGGTGAAAGGTCACGTTCAACTGTACAGAGCGTCACATCTTTGAGATTCAATTTAAAAAAGAAGCTAAAATGAAACTTTTGGTGAGATTAGCTCGGGTGCTAATCAGGCAGCGAAATGACGGAGCGACAGGTACGAGGTGGGAGTGTGGCATCACCTCTGTAGGTGGGCAAAGGGCTGCTGGTCCGGGGTCAGCACCGGTCGATATTCAATCTCGTCAGCCAGGCGGAAACAATGAGGAGGAACAGAGCTCTGTTCATCTGGAAGGAAATCAAACTAAAGGGGTGGGAGGAGGCGGTGTCAGCCCCGGGGGAGGGAGGGAGGAAGGGTGAGGAGGGGAGTGGAGGGGAAGTCAAACACACTGAAAAATTCAAATGATAAAAAAAAAAGAAAGTTTCTCAAAAAAAAAATCTATATACAGTCAGAAGACGGGTTGGTGTTGTTGCCTTACAGCGAGAAGAACCTGGTTTGATCCCCGTACCTATGTTATTAATTGATTGGAGGTGTGAAAGTGTGAATGGTTGGCGTGACTTTTGACCCCGAAAAAGATTGTGTCATTTAAACCATTGTTTCCCAAAGACTGGGTCACGACCCTCAGGTGGCTCACAAGAATTTTTTTTTCGGGTCGTCTCGCATCATGTTTCCCAGGAGTTTACGAATAAGTTCTATTGACTTGGGTGACGAATGTTTGCGACTTTTAAAATATGGGTTACCAGAAATTTTTTTTTTAGGAAACACTGATTTAAACGCTAATTAGATCTTAGCTAATCAGGTTCACTCACACTTGATATATACGTAGGACCATGAATGCTAATCTTGCTAAATGCTAGGTGTTTCGCATTCAACATTGAACTGCTACGGCTCCTGAACTGCCGGTTCCAGTGAGAACCAAACAATGTATTTCCCAGCGTGAACCAGTACCGTATGTCATTAGTGGCGGTGACAAACAGGAACAGGAAGTACATCCGTATAAACGTGGAACTTCCTTTGTCTGGTGATAAACCCAATTCTTCAAACCTAAAAATTCTAGAAGGGGCCGGAACGCAGAGGTGAAAAATGTTCTGCCGATTAGT